CTGTTCTCTCCAGCTACGATGCTGCTATTGCACATTCTGCCGCTCTTCTCACAATTCCCCGAAGGTCGCATTTTTGAATTTTGATTATTTCATTCAATTGTCACTTAGGATCATCGAGATCACTCGAGGCTATCCGTCTGGAGTAGCTGATGCCGGCAAGATGCCAACACAGCTGTTCCAGACCAGCCGTCTATGCCGCATATAAAATACTGCACGACTTTGATGCAGCTTCCAACAGCTATTTGAGATCGCAGGGGACTTCGCGAACACTAATCACAGTTCTCGACAACGTCAGGATTTTTGTACAAACAAACATCAAGAGTTTGCGGTCAAAAAGCCGGTGGAATATGGGGCTGAAATTTTTGGACGGGCAGTTCGCTGCATCATTCTGGTTACACTGTGGATTCCAAACCCTTACTGCTAAATTTTCAAGTCGTACCCAATGTTGCTAAATTCAGACTTGCCCAGAACTGTTTTTATTTTGGACTCATCTTCTTTAACACAATTTGAAATAGGCAAAAAAGCTGGTGAAATTGTAATTGTTGCAGTAATAGGCTAACCTTTGGATAAATTGAGGCTGTATACGAAATCTACATTTCTTCATCTGTTGTACTTTATTTTACAGCATGGAGCTTAGGATGTATGACAAGAATTTGTCAAGGAAACGAAAAAAATGAACTGATCGAGTGTAACGGCGAATTTTGTGGCGAATACATGAGTAAAAGGTACCAGGCATCACAAAAACATAAGTTAAAGCCTAAATTGTATGAGAAACCTGTCGAAGAACTGGGCTGAAACTAGCTCTTCCTGTACTTATTTGTGAATCAGTACATATCGGGAATATCAGTATGACACTCCACGTTAGTGACGTTAATGGGAACTTCCACACTGTGGGCGCTCTCTGTTTTCACGTGACTACCACTCATAGATATAAGTTGTCTACCACTGCCAGCAGGGCAAACAACACACTTTGCCCACTGCATTGGATTTTACTCCGCGCGATGGCAATGGCGGTTTACACATCGCTCATCTGACAGAGAGTCTGACTGTTTATATAGCTGAAAGGAGAAACACCAAGCATTCTTCGGTCCGTCATTCTCTCCACTGCGGCATGCGGTCTCCAGCTTTCGTCAGTGACCATGTTTCATACCTCCTTGTTCTTACACTGTTTGTGCTGCGATACTTTAGTTTATTTTGCATATAAGATAATAAAACCATCCCTTTGCTAACAACCCAGATACTTCCACCTCTGGAAACAACTCGAGCGGTAGTGCTTGCTTACAGCAATCACTCGTTGAAAAGGCTGATGGTGGTTCTGCCCCAAGCAGCTGCAAATCGCATTTGATCAGAATTTTAGGTTATGTTTTCATATTTTAAAGGATTGTGAAACAACCTCCAACAAGGAGCATTGAAACAAACACCAATTTTTGAGAAGCGCTTCCATTTACCCATCCCATGTTTTTGAATATTATAATACAATAAAACACTAGTGACTAGGGAAGTTTAGCAAGCTAAAAGCATGCACTGCGTACAAAGTTTGAGAATGTCTACTGTTTTATCGGCTAGAATACTCAGACACTTTCCTGTTCTCGCTAGTTACCAAGCAGAGTGAAGTTTGGAGCATTACTGTACAGTTTGTTATTTTCTGTAGAAACTACGTCAATTTTAAGTGCTTCAGGGTACGCAATTACAGGCATGATGGAGAACTTCTGAAGGGTGTCGACATCGAATGCCACCCGAATCGAGAGGTATATGCGCCATTTGATGGCGATATGTATTTTTGGCGGCCGTACGGCAATCACGAGAATTATCAGTGCGCCGATGAAGGCGCTCGAATCGAAGGGATTGGACAGTGGCAAGGCAAATTTGCTTGTACTCGTAATAATCGCTGTTGCATTCGACTAAGCCACTACTAAGCAGTACAATTATCCAAAAGCAGGCAAATGCCAGGGGGAAGAAAAATGCTCGTTCATCTTTTGCACTCACTAATATTATAATTTTCGTTAAATCATCATAAAATAGAGAGTTTCTTCTTGGTAGAAAGAAAGTTGCTCGTTTTATTGGCTGTTTTTCGAAAATTAGGATTTGGGCCAAAGTAAAAACCAAAAAAAAAGAATTACTTAAAATAATTATTAGGCTCGGATGAAGTAAGCTTCACGTCTGCTATATTTTTTCTTTCAAAATTATTAAGAGCTCCCTTGGTATGATAATTTTTATTTTTTAAGGCTACTACGTTCTGATTGCATCAGTGCAGCTCGATTTTTTCGGTGGGCGAGTTGAAAAAGGACAGCGAATTGGTGTTGCTAAGGATCACCGTTGCGCATATACGGACGATGATGGAGAACCGTATGTCAGGTTGCAGCTCTTCAGGCAGGGAAGACCGATCGATCCAACTTACCATCTTCGCGACTGTCGGTTTCATGTTTTATCCAAATCCAAATCTTTTATCCAAATT